GCGGCAAAGGCACTTCCGAAATGTTCGCGGCACCATTGGCCCGAGTCGAAGAAGCCCTGGCAGAGACCCCACTTGGATTATGCGGGACCAATCTAATAGAGACGTAAGCGGAGCTAAAGTTGGGTATCGACTGAGAATTGATCAGCCAGCAATTACTAGTCCGCGTAAAACGAATCGAACTATACCGTCAATACGATAAACCCGTGGAGCGGAACTCACTCACACTGGCTGAAAACCGGACGCACAAAAATGAGCGATCTTGACCTCCTAAATTAGCATGTTTCGGCTACCTATAAACACAGTTAACTTTTGGTGTAGATAAACTCCCTGTTTACCGAGCCTTGGTCTTCTGCATTCCGTCGGTTGGTTGGGCGCGTGACTGAGAAGTCAGACAGTCGCAGTCTCATAGGACAGCTAGCAACAGTATAACAGTCTTCAGTGGCAGAGAGCAGAGGCAAAGAAGAAGCGTTACAACACAATCAACGGTCAAGCTTATCTTATTTTTGTTGATTCCTACACAAAATGGCCCGACGTGATTCCCATGCAAAATCCTACCGCCCGGCACACTATCAATGAGCTGAACAAACTGTTCCAGTATTTTGGCACCCCGGAGATGCTGGTTACAGACAACGGAGCACAGTTCACCACAACGCTGTTCCGAGAATCTTGCATGCAAAACAGGTTCCAGCACAAGTTTTCGCCACCGTACCGTCCACAATCGAATGGGAAAGTCGAACGGTTTGTAAATACTTCTAAACGTGCTGTTCTCAAGGGAAGGAACGAGGGTGTCACGAGATGCAATTCAACCGTTTGTGAGAATGTATCGAAACATTCCGAATCCAAACACACCGGAGGGTAAATCTCCTTCTGATTGTCTATTTGGACGAAAAATTAGAACGACATTTGATAGCCTGATTCCCAGAAATGTTGAAAAACGCAACGAACAACCGAGAGGGAAGCAGGATAACAGGTTTCGCACGTTCAAGATTGGCGAATTGGTGTATGCACGAAACTTCCAGACCCCGGAAAGATGGGGTAGCGGAACGGTTAGTGGAAAGAGGGGTAAGGTTATCTATGAGATAATGGTCGGAAAGGACAAGCAGACCAGACACATCAATCATCTACAACAGCGGCATGGCAAAACTCAAAGACATCAAGAACCAGCGGCACCACAGTGGAACATGCTACTGGATACGTTTGGTTTAGAAAACAAAACTGATCTCCAAAGCGGAACACAGCCGGTCGCATAGACGCCACACGACGTGACATGCAGGCCAAGTCGAAGAATAAGGCAACCGCGATGGTTACAAGTGGACCACAGGGCAAAAACCTACGACCGAGCCCAAGTGCGGAAAATAGGTAGGAGCAATCAATTCAAAGGGGGAGGTAATAGAGAGGTAAGCGGAGCCAATGTCCAGATACGAAGTCGCGCACAGGCTTCGCGGACCACGTGAGCTGTCTGCTGCATGCGAAGGTCATCAGCATGAGCATGGAACAACCTTCGACTGTTTTGCCAAATTTGGGAATCGGGTGCAAACTGATTAGCCTGCAAATACAAGCACGGGTCAACGGAGGCGAACCATTCTGCCAAATATGGAAAATCCGTGGGACGGAATTAACTCACATTGGCTGAGAGCCAAATGCTTCCAAAACTAGTATGTTTCGCTCACCAATAAATAGAACTGACCTATCGTGTAGAATAAACTCCCTGTTTACCGAGCCTTGGCCTTCTGTATCCCATGGGTTGGTTGGGCGCGTGACTGAGCAATCAGGCGGTCGTAGTCTCGCAGGCGCAGAATAGCAGCAGTGCAGCAGTACGAAGGCCGTTTTACAACACTAATACTGTTCTTGGCCGAATTTTTGAAAATGGACGCTGAGATACTGGGCGCAATACGCGGAATTACGAAAAGGCGTTTTGGCAACCCGAGGGATTTTCGTATGGATCGGCAAACTAGGTTTCGACAATGTACTGTCCGTATGGTTCAGATTTGGTACCGTTTATTGGAGTGACACCTGCACTTCCGGATGCCACTTTTCCAGGTATACAAATTTGCTTATTTAATGGTACTGTTCTAGAATGTCCGCATTAGATGTCGTAAAATGCCGGTTGCCTAAAACTTATTTTGACTTGACATGAAAACAAACGCCACTAAGTCGATCCTTTGTCTTGCCAACAAGTGTACAAATCACTCGCTTTTAAAATGGGCGCACAGTAGCATCACGTAAGTATGAAACAGTAGTAATACTATGAATACTATACTAACTATAAAGGACATTCACCATATGCCACCCGAATGCAATCAAATAAATAATCCAGTTAACCCATCCAATCCACATTCCTCCTGCGTAAAAGTATGCGATTGGTCAGTCTTGACCCACTTCTGTTCTAGTGCATGAGTACATCCAACCGGGTGAATGTGCATCCCGGATTTCACGGAACCCAAGTATCGATGCGTCGCAGTGTCTAACAATTTTACTCTGCAGGCGCCGTCAACTGAAGGTTAAGTTACTTAAAAAGCTTCCCACTGAATATCGACTATTTACCATCTAACTTTGTGGTACCCAGTCTTACTAGGCACTTGGTGATGACAAGCTTACGCAACAGTCCCGTGATACTGCTGGCGTTCCCGACAAAACTGGAAAATGGCGTGGTGTTCACGGAGTTAATTTCAAGTTTTTGTCATATATTTGCTGTCTTCCGATAACGTTAATACTTTTCCAAAACGAAATGACGTTTTCTGAAGTTTTCGTCAACTGATCTCCGACATGTGGGGTAATTTGAAGTACTTGTTGTGTCAATGGATTGCAACACGTAACCCCAATCAGGACCACAGTTGACTTTGAAGTGAAAGTCGGTCAATTCAAAATAACCCTTCTAACGAGTCATTAACCATTATGGTAAGTGCAGTAAGGGCTTCGGCTGGCGGTCTCAACATCACGGGTTCGATTCGCAGTACAGCTACCTTTGCCTGACAGATTGCCTCAGCAACTACGAGGCATTTGATGAACACCGGTCACCAGGTAAACCCGAAGGCGTCATTGAGAGAGTCCTTTTGCGCAGTCAAAGGCCTCACATTATCAAGCTCCTTGAGACTGTTGTTATCGATGGACAACGTCCACCACTGTGTGTTCAAAAACAGCTGATAGTGAAAGAAATCCTGTCGTGGTAGCGTCTAACACACCAATAAGCATGACAGCTGACCACTAATCGATTTCATGTGAACTTGTTTTGAGGATGCACAAGATGACAGTGTCATCCCACAAACTTCGTCTTTCGATATTATTATTTGAAATTACCCAGGGGGAATTTCAATTTTTCAGAAAACCACCTCAAATTCCAACACGTGCCTAATATTTTCGAATATTTTCAACCGTCTTTAACGCTGTTATGTCTCGAAAATATCCGCTCAATAGCTGTATTCTTTCCACTTCTGTGTTTTCAGTGGTTTCCGCCAAAGTGTTTAATTTCGTCGTAGATTCTATCATGGAGTGTTCCTTTGCGGAATCTCACGATGTAGGCGCTGAAGTGCTGCCTAGTGAAAGGTTAGTTGATCTAGGTTATGCGGACGATATCGTCTTGCTTTTCGACGATGTTGAGGCGACCCAATCAACCCTGAATAGCCTGTCCAGAGTGGTCCCATTATTTGGTATGCACTTCGCACCTTCAAAGTACAAAGTGTTGCTGCAGGACCACCAGCCACTTGATGACCTCTTGACGCTTTCTAACGAGGAACTCGAGGTGGTTGATCATTTCACTTATCTTGGCAGCTGCATCAGCAATGATGGGCGCATAGAAAGTGACATCAGCTCACGCATTGCAGAAGCAAGAGCTACCTTCTTGAACCTGCGGCATCTTCTGCGACAGAAGGGAGTTTCCCTCCGTCTGAAAGGCCGGGTATACAAGGCCACAGTGAGGGCCGTTCTGCTCTATGTTAGTGAAACTTGGCCCCTTCGGTCTGAAGATCTGAGGCGCCTTCAAGCCTTTGATCATCGTTGTTTGCGAAGCATTGCTGGAGTCGGATGGCACCAGCGTGTCCGCAACGATGATGTGCGTAGGCGAGTACTAGGTGGTGGTAATCATGCTAACTCCCTAGAACAACAGATAGCACTGAATAAGTTGCGTTGGCTCGGGCATGTGCTACGTATGCTTGGTCACCGCTTACCTAGGAGGGCCTTGTTTAGTCTGCCAGGTGTAGGATGGCGCAAGGCTCGAGGTGGACAGAAGTTGACTTGGCAGCGGGAAATGAAGTCACTGACGACCAAACTGAGTGCCGTTGGTCCGTCTCGCCTTCCGGATTGGAGTCCACGTGACTCACCTTGTGCTTGGCTCGAGACTTTACAGGACATGGCTCGCAACCGACACCAGTGGCGCGTCTGCTGCCCTCTCCTAATCCGACTGCCTGTTTAAAGTGTGTTTGGTGCTGAGTTATCTGTGGGGTAATGGCTGATTATGACGCGTGGCAGTGAAAGCCGCAAGGAAGCTGTCTCGCCGATGCCGCCTTATCTTTGCACGATAGCCAGCTGTTTGTGACGGTATGTTGTCTACACAAGGTGTAGGCGCCTTGGCCCTGAATGTTTGCTTAGGGCAATAAGATTTTCAGTTAAGTCCCCCTTCTCTCCCTCTTCTTATTCTTTATTTCATAGGTCCTCATGGCAGCGAAGCATCAGTTCAAATGGCTGATGCACTGCTGTGGATGATGATGATGCCAAAGTGGAGTGTGAATCTAGCTGAGAATTATGTCGGAAAACTCTCCGAATAAAAAACGGTGAGAATATGCAAAACAGGCATAGAATGTGAAAAGATTAAAAATGCGTTTGAAAATCGGACTACTTCTTACATCCGCTCAGTTTTGCTGAGTGAAGAAAGCACTAGTGTATTTGCAGCTGTGTACTTGCTCAAACGGAAGACAGAATGTGTTGCTCACTCGAAAAATATCTTTTTTATAGGCAGTATGTATGATGACTTGCCCTGAAAAAAGCGTGTTTCCATAAAAACTCACCATTGCGCCCGTTGGGCTAAAAACAACCAGTCGTCCAGAGTAGTCAAGCGATTGCGCGAAATCAGATCGGTGACGGCAGACTCAAACGGAAGTGAATTGTTCCGCAGGTATACTTTGAACTCGCAGCATATGCGAGAGAACAACTGAAATGAAAGAGAGGGAAACTGAGGGGTAGGACGGTGATCATCATGAGGATGCGGCCGTTTGTAATGATCAACTGTACCAATCAAGACATGGAATAGGAAAATAACGGTGTTCTGTTGATTGAATAACAAGCTATTGTGGAAATATGGCAGACGATGCTGGCGAATTAACAGTGTACTCTTGGACAACAACAATACAACAGTCAGAGTGCCAAATATGTCAAAAGTGGGTGCGTAGTGGGTGGAAGAAGAGAGAATATGATCATGGGAAAGATTACCTTGAAAAGCAGAGCGAAGTCGAGTACGTTCTTGGGATCCGCCTCCAAAGCCAACTGGTGAATGACGAAGATAAACACATGCACCGGATAAGAAGGAACACTGGAATCCGCCAACTGGGTAGCGTCAAGCTCCAGGGAGCATGAGATCAGCGCACGATACAGACGGGAGCGGTGCGAAAATCTGTAAGCAGCCCCGAAGTAAGCCGCAACCGGGGGAGAAGACCTCATTAAGTTAGCACTAATAGCGTTCATCAACAGCAGTCAAACACGAACAAGGAGGCTCACCCAAAAGTCTCATCCTGAAAGAAAGCATCTGCTGAGATAGACAGTGTGAGAAGATTCAAGAAATCCACGGGGTTGTGTCGAAGAAGAAGTGAAAGAGGCCTTCCGGTGGTGGAGCTTTGTTGCGTTGAGTGTCCACTTTGCAGGAGAAGGTTAAAAATCTAAATAAATTTGGAAAGGAAAGGACGCGTCCAACGATACTGACGAGAATATTCATAAAAATGCGAGCGCTTAAGGAGCAGAGATGATATCGTACCAGACATAAACGAACGCACGAAGAATGTGCTCATGCCACTTATTTGCAGAGCCCTCAAAAAACTGCCTAGCTACGAGAGGATCACAATAGCTGAGTGGAAACAAAGCACTGCGACCGTTGCTAAAACCTGGTAATTCGACGAATTGGAATACCAGTCCTATGGTTAGTGCTGATGACAATAAAGAAGGAAATTTGCTGTCGTAAGCAATTTCCAGCAAGTGTGGACTTGAGTTCGATTGTAGGATGACGATATGAGCTATTTTTCCGAAATCATGTATACTAATGGATGGGATTTCGGAAAGAAAGGAACGAAGAGCGAAGTGAACAGGAAGAGAGGTGCTCCGATTTGTTGGTGCAGGTAAGTAGGGCTGAAAAAGTAAGAGCACATGGTAAACACTAAGTGTCGCAATGGAACGCCATCGCAGTGAGGCTGGACAGTACCGTGGTGCGATGGTTTGTGTGCCTCAGCGATCCATTGAGCTATGCTGGGTGGTGCTTTTTTTGCACCTTTAGAGCCAATCGTACCAGATTGGTCAGTGGTTAGACGCCAGACAAATACAGTCTCCTGGTCCTATAAGTTGGGGGCTGGAGTGAGAGTGGCTCCTTATTCCTTAAAACGGACTCCTTGTAGTCCAACGCCAAACCCGCTGCCTTGCGGTCAGGTTTTGAACCAAAGGCTATGGGTGAGAACCTTAGGCTTAGGCAACCTGACAGTATCCTGCCCACGCAATACTATGAATCTTTCTTCAAACAATTTCTTGATGCTCTAGCCACTGCAGAGGATAATCCACGGCTACC